ATGAAAGAATCAGATAAATTAATTAGAGAAATTAATAATAAATGGGTATGGTCAGGAGAATAGAAAATCTGCAAGAAGATATGAAAAGGATTTCAATGTGTATGCATTACTATCTCCAAAATAAATTTATAGGAGATAAATTTGATGAAGTAAAAGAAATCCTAAGGAAAATAAATAGACTAGAAGATCTAGTCAAGGGAAGGAAATGGTACAGAATAAAATACATCATGAGATTAAATGAACAAGATGCAGATGAAATTAAAATGAAAGCACAAGAAAGAATAAAGTACCTAAAATATATGATGACGATGATTAAAGAAAGAATTAAATTTAATAAGAATGAAATTATCAGAATCAATACAAATAAAATCATGTTTGATTCTAATAAGAAAACCAAAATAAAGAAGAAAAACAAGATGAAATATACCCAAATAACGATATTACTTTAGAATATTGAAATCGTTATATGAAACACAGGTGATATTAAATAAAGAACATTGGAAAATAAAACAAATCACCTCGTGGAATGAAAGATACAGGAATTATGATAGTGTCATCATCTCAATGGATGAACTAAATCTAAGCCTGATGAAAATAAGTAATTGGAAAGCACCAGGTATTGACACTATATATGGGTATTATTGGAAGAGAATGTCATCATCAAGAGATTCCATTCTTAATATCTTCAATGAATGGTTAAACTTCCCAGAAAACATCCCTCTAGACATGGTAAGTGGAAGAACTATACTAATCCACAAATGAGGTGATAGGAACGATGTCACTAATTATCGTCCTATCAGTTGTACAAATGTAATAATGAAAGTATTTACCTCAATATTGAAAGAGAAGATTCACAATAGAATTAACATGAATAGTGAATCATTAAAAATTAGTAAAAATCAATTATGATGTAAACTGCAATCTCTTGATGATAAAGAAGGATAATTAATAGTTGCATGTTAAAGCAGTAAAAAGAAGAGAAATACCCAAAATATGTAGAGTCATATTATGACATTAAGAAAGCATATGACTCAGTAAATCATGAATGGGTAATAGAATCACTTAAATATTTTAATGTAGAGGGTGTCATCATAGATATTGTAGAAAGTATGATGAACAGATGGAAGATATTCATAGGATATAAATATAATGAATATCTAGGATGTATTAAATTGATGAATTTTACATTGTGATTCCTTATCATTTCTACTCCTTCATCATCAAAATGAATATAATTTCTCATTTCATAGAAGAGAAATTCCCAAAAGCAAACCATACATTGTATATGGATGATTTGAGAATAATGACACAAAGTAGTGAAGAAATGGGAACAATCCACAATGAAATTAAACAAATAATAAGTGGAATAAGGATGGAAATGAAAAGAAATCAGGAATGGTATTAAAGAACATTAATAAAATACCAGATGGAATGCAAAACATCCCAATAATTGAAGGAGAGGACTTGTATAAATATTTAGGTGTATGGCAGTCAGATGAAATTAATGATACCTTCAATTGTAAAATCATCAAAGAAAAGATGATGAAGAAAATGGAAGAAATAAATAGTGATGAAAGTAGTAATAGAAGTTATATTACAAGAATTAATACTGAATTAATACCCATCTTCAGATATTCAGCATCAGTAATAAATTGGAAGGTAACTGACCTAGATAAAATGGATTTGGATATAAGAAAATATTTAAGAAAGGCAAAATACATTTGTTGTAACTCCAAAGACCGTCTATATGTCCCTATAAACGAAATAGGTGAATGATTAATAAACCTAAGGGACGAATATGTTAATGAAATAATTATAACAGTAATGTACTAATGTACAAGAGAAAGTGAAATAAGAAATAACATAATAGATAGATGGTATTCCAAGAAATGAATATGGAATAGAATTAAAAAAGCCCTAAGTCATAAAATCGGAGAGACCCAAATAGAAGAAATAATAAATGAATTTATTGAACATAAAAAAGAAAAAGAAGTAGTATTAAAAATAAAGAAAATAATGACCAACCAATATATCAATAAATTGAAATCAAATAAATGGATATTTTAGAAGATGGTTCGAGTCAAAATTTGTAGATAAAATTACTACAATAAATGCATTGAAGTCCATCAATATTAAGAAAAATGCATTTCTCCAATTAACTAAAATACAAGATGGAATAATATTTAGTGGATACAGGAAAGATAAAATATTAAAAATGAATAAAATATATCCATTTTGTAAATACAATATATCAAAAATAGAACATATTCTATTATCTTGTATTGTTCATAAAAAATCACAAATTGAGAAATATGACAATATTATATTATCATATGGGATAATAAGAAAATATAAATGAAATAATCAATATAAAAAATCAACATATGAAACAATGTTCAAATACAATGATATCATTATGATATTGAATAAACAAATATATCAAAAAGTGATGGACTATATCATAAAATACCATAGATATATACGTAATAAATAAAAAGAATAAAACTGATCTATTATTTGATATGATTATTGTTGTAGATCATAATATTAATGGAATATATTTGAATAAAAGAAATAAATATAAAGAAATGAAGAATATGATAATTAAAAAAGAGAAATTAGAAGATATCAAAATAAATACAGTAATAATTTCAATAAATTAAATAATAAATGTAGAAAGTATTAAAATAATTAAATAATTAAAAATCGAAACTGATAACATAAAAGAAGTCAAAAACCTTATAATTAAAACATGATGGATGTCATTGAACACTAAATCTATCACAACCAAACATATGATGTTGAACTACATGATGAAGACTCATTGATGGGATAGTCTCCCCTAAACCAGGAACAATAGACATAATTTCTATTAACAATTTATTAATTAATTTTTATTTATTGTTTTATTATCATCAATTATTTTAATAATTTATGTTATCGAAGTATTTTATTAGTTTTATTTTATTCATTCTAACATTAAATATATTAATTAAAATGATTATATCTTTTATTATTCTATTATTAAATATATAATGAAATAATTAAAGTAATAACTATTAATTTATCTATTTATTAAATTAATTAATTTATTAACATTAGTTATTTATAAAAGAAATATTCTTATTATTTAAAATTATTTTTTATAATAAATTAAAATAATAAATTGAAAAATATTAATTAGTTTTAATATTTGTTTTATTTTATTCTTTTTTTGATAACAATATTATTAATTTTTCATTTATCATTATAATTTTATATTTATAAATAATTTTATTTATAATTTTCATTCTTTGAGATTTATTTTAATTTATTTAATGATTTTATTTATTATTATAAAACTTATTATAATTTTTTATTTATATTATATTTATTTTCTATTATTTATTTATAATTTTTATTTATTTACTTTATCATAATTCTTTTTCTTTTTTTAATTTAAATTTATTAAAATATGAAATATATATTTATTATTTATTTCTTTTTTTATAATTATTTTTTATGGTACAATTTAATAATAGTGTGATAAATCATTTATGGTATATTATTAATTATTTAATTATTTAATTATTTATATTTTATATAATATTTTATTTTATATTATTAATTATTTTATTTATTATTTATTATATTGTTTAATATCAAAAACAATTATTTTCTATTCACATATTTATAATTTTATAATCTATTTCATTTAAAAATAAACTCTGATTTATTATTGTTTATTATATTATCAAATATATATTCATTTTTATTTCATATTCTTTTAATTAATACAAAAGAATAAATTATATTTTCATTTATATTAATAATTTATTAGAAAATAATTTTTGAATAATAAAAACATAAAAATACTTATATTTTTCATTGGAAATGAATAAAAATATAATAATAATATAAAAGAAAAAGAAGAAATAAAAATAAAACATAGAATAATAAAGTTAATAAGAAATAGATAATAAAAACGATATAAAAATAGAATAAGATAATAATTAAGAAATAGATAAAATAGATAAAAATTAAATATATTAAGAAGAAGATATTTAAATATGTCATAGTCACTTAATCCATTGACAATTTGTGTCTTTCTACGCGTAGAAAGACACAAATTGTCAATGGATTAAGGGAAAATGACAAATGTTCTAAAAATAGAACACAGCAATGATCACAAAAAGGAGTTTGATGACGTGGCAACTAAAAATAGAAATAGAATGATGACGTGGACATACGTCAAAAGTATTTATAGAAATAGAATTGACTCATCAATACGTAAACAAATAAAAATAGAATTATGGGATATAAAACAATATCAGACTTGAATAAAGGTACATGTCAGCAATGTCAGCTGACAAAACTGACAAGAATTATAGTAAAATATAGTAAAATATATTATAAAATATAATAAAAATAATATATCAGTATAAATATATATATATATTTTGAGGGAGAGATGGCGCAATCAAATAAAGCTGATAATGACAAAAGTGGTATAAATAACATATGATTATGGAAAGATTAAGAAACACTAAATGTTAAATATCAATATTAATAATAATAATAACAACAAAAACAAATAACAAAAAACAAAACGTGGAATAACACAAATGTCAGCGAAGAATGAATTATTAGATCACTGACAAGGGTTTAAATAAAAACGCGACGTGGCAGGGTTGAAATTAACGTTCAAAAATTTCAAGCGGTGATGAATTAGGGTGAAAGAAAGGTACAGAAATAAGAAGAAAATGTAACATAGAAACATAAAGAAGCAGAGAAACATAGAAATAGCCAATAAACAACAAGAGAAAGGTGAAGTATTACAATAGCAATGACGAATTAAATGACGATTATTTAATAAAGTATAATAACAAATTAAAAATTATAAAAATGAAAGTAACAAATCAATACACATATAAATAACAAAATACTACATAATAAATACGTGGTTACAACTAATGAATAATATAAAACACTAAAAAATAAAGAATAAAAAATTTAGTCAAATGTTAAACTGCATAAATACAAACACGACATACTCAACATCAGAAGAATCCAGTTGCGAATTTACAAAACAACATATATTTATCAGTGGGAGTATAGCAGTCGGGAAAACAACAGTTATGAAATGTTTAAACGAATATCTACATGAAAGAGAAGACATAATATTTATTAAAGAGTATATTGATTACAACGCAGACGGAGAAAAATATTTAGAAAAGTTACACAATGGAGAAATATCAAATTACCAATTCCAATTATACGTAATCCAATGTTACGATAAACAATTAAATACTATAGATTATGAAGAATCTGATGTCGTTGTATGGGAAAGACATCCAATAGAAGCTTTAGATATATTTTGTAAGGAAGATACAACTTTAACAGAGAAAGAACGTCTAGAAATTATATTGAGAATAGAAACTTTGTGTGATAAATATAAAATACCCCAATTAATAGAAAATAATATTAATTATATAAGTATTGATACGAATTCATTTAGATCAGAACAAATCTCTTATTTTATAATATCAGAAATAATTTATCAGATGTTATTAGGAGAATATGAAAATAACGTACTTATATTATTATTTTGTAGTAATACAGATGAACAATTCAACAGAATAATTAAACGGGGGAGATCAATAGAATTAAAGAAGTATAAAATATCAGAAGATTTACTTAAAATCAACAACAATTATTTCGAATTCTTCCTAAAGAGAAAAGATTCACAATTAAAATAATTAACTACTTAACTCATATTTATATTTTATAATATAATGTCCATTGAACAAGAGAATGATATTACTAGAAATCTAGAAACAAAACATCCAAAGATATTAATGAAATTATGTTATTCCATTGCTGCAGCCATTATTTTATTAATATTAACAATAACTATTATAATAGCACAACTATTCTTAAAATTTATAGAATAGAGAATTAATTAAAGAAATCAATTATTTTTTTGTGGTTTGGTTTCATTACGAAGTTTAGAAGAACAACGTTTCATTACTTCAAGTATTTTTCTATATTCTCGTATAAAATTAATAGATGTAATAGCAATATCTTCTACAAGTTGAGCTTCCTTTTCCAAAATTCGTAAATATTTTTCATCACCCAACGTAGAACATTGTTCTTTTTTGTACAATTCTTTCATATCCTCACATAACTCCTCAATACCATCGAGGTCAACGAAATAACTAGCAAGTTCATTAATACTTAAATCAGCAATATTACAAGCATCCACACGCTCGTCAACAGAAATACTCATTGAATAAGACATTTCTAAAAACAGTTTAAATATAAAATAAATTCATCACCACAGACAAAACCTCATAAACAGACACAAACAGACAATTTTAAAATTAATAAAATTAATAAAAATAAACTATTTTCCCTCATCAAACAGACAATATTACAGTCATCGACAACTCATCATTACATATTTAATCATCAAAAATATTCATTTATTTCATCAATTACAATGAATACCAAAAGAATTTGCGAACTCAGAGAATTAGTCCACCGTTTACAAATCGATGTCAATGAACGTTTAAAAGCCAATGTAACTATTGATGGAAAAGCTTTATTGTTTGCAATAGCCCATTGGACACATCATTTAATGTTTATTAAAGAATTCAAATATGACCAATGTTTATATGATTATTTGCTTTATTTATTAAAAGATGTAAGTAATTTACTAGTCGATTACAGCAGTTTAGAAGATATTCTTGATCAAATAAGATTCCTTTATGATCAAAACAATTATCAATATTTTAATTGATTATTTAATTTTATAATAATGTTTGTTTTTTTAAAAATAATTCATTTTTTTAATTGTTATTATAAATAATCATTTTAGCAATTAAAATTGTTATTAGTATATACAAAATTTACTATTATTATTATTAAATCAAATTATAAAAAAATACTTAAATTAATCTTTAGACTCAACCTTCCTAGGTTTTTTCTCCGCTTCTTCCTTCTTATGTGGTTTTAACATACTCTTTCTGGCTTTCATTTCTTCAAGAGCTTCATTATTAACTAATTTATCAACTTCATCACTTCCATCTCCAATTTTTTCAATATCTCCATCTTGACACTTTTTAGAATGAGATCTAACCCATTCTGGTATAGTACCATTAACAACACTCTTTCCACTCTTCTTGTTAAATTTCTTACACCAAGCTTTATATGTAGCCAATCCAATATTATGTTCATCCAAAAATAAAGACATTCTCTCACAACGTTTAATAGCTTCCAATTTATTACGTAAAATATCTTCACGCATTTCATTTGTAGTAACTTTTGTATCATTATTTAATCTCCACTCCAAATATTGAGGATCACGCATTGTAAAATAATAAGTCTTAAGAAAACTATTTACTTGTGGATCAACTTGAGCATCTTGGTAAACATCCAAAATATCCATACTTCCCACTTCATTATAAATATCATCATGTGGCCTTCTGAAATTGTTCATAATTACTGTTTTATAGTTTAAAAAAGAGTTCTTTTTATAACATAACTCCACGGAATGATGTAATGACACGTAAGAAAAAACCTCACCGATCTATATTTAAACAAATTAAAACAATAAAAATACAATGTCAATAACTAACAACTTCGAACCTTCCCGTTTAGACAAAGGAAAATTAGACCAAATGTTAAGAGTACACAAACCTTTACATTTCACATCCAAATACGCTTATTTAACTCTTTGGGGAGACGAAATTTCAAATGAAACCCAATTCGAAGAAATTATTAATAGAATAGCCGGAGCTACCAATAATGTGCAATATGCACATGTTTCTCCTGTAGAAAAAGATTCTCAAACAGAAAGTCCGCATCAACACATGCTTGTAGTAATGAAACGCCCTAAGTCTTTTAATGCTCAACCAATTATTAATCATAAAGACGGAACTAAACAAAAATTTTGGTATAGTAGAGTCAATTCTTACACCGCACGCACGGGCGACATTAGTGCTATTATCAAATATTTAAAAAAGAGAGGAGAAGGCATGCATAAAGGTAACCCAGATAACAAAGAAGATATAAAACAAACTTGGATTAATGCACTTAATGATATGGACAGTTATCACGACTTTAAAGAATTAGAAAAAAACCTCATGGAAATAAACGCAGAGAAGTTTATTCAACAAGAAGGAAAAATCAAATCAAGATGGTTACGCAAAAATGCAAGGAGAATAGACATGGAGAATTACACTAAACCAAACTTATTTCCGTGGAAAGAAGATAGTGAAGAAATCCAAACAATAAGAAAGTGGATTAAATGCGCTTCCGGCAATAAATACAGAATGGGTAATTTATTTATTGTCGGACCAACAAAAACAGGCAAGACAGAATTTGCCATTCAAGAAATCTTTATGAAATATAATACATTTCTTTTAAGAGGAGATTCATTATTTGATTCTTATGATGACGATCAGAACTATAGATTTATTATTTTCGATGACATTAATTATGATAAAAATCTAGTACGTTTAATAAAAGCTATTACATCTTCAATAAATAAAAAAACCATGGTAAACGTCAAATATTCAAAAGCCATAGTAACTGCTCGCCCGTGCATACATCTACTTAATCAAAAAGAATATGAAGGAATTCTTAATTTGATGAAATATAATGGGGGTTACAGTTGGTGGAGAAGAAATTCACTAACAGTTTTTATCGATGACAAACTTTATAAAGATCCAAATGAATCTGAAAATAATTCAAAAGATATGAGCCAAGAAGAGAAGGATTATGATCCCCAAAAAGATTTAGATGAAAAGTATGAAGAAGTGAAAGACGACAATAGTGAAGATTATCAAAGTATTATTGAAGAATCACTTCAACATGTAAAATTTGAAACGAGACTTACAAACTTCATGCAAGATTTGGGATATGATGATACGTTTTTAGAAGAATTAACAGAAAAGATAAAAGACGCAAAAAAGAACAATGCCAAATTAAAGAAAACACTTAATCATTTGGAAGATGATAATGAAAGCTTAATGGAAGAGTGGGAAGACGATTTAAATAATTACCAAAACAATAATCCATTAGGCATGACAGAAGAAAATTACAGACGATTTGAAAACGACACAATGTCTAAGTTTGAAAGGGATAGACTAGATTACTTCAATAATAAAGAACAAGATGATTATGATGAAGAAGAAGACGATGAAGAAGAAGACTATAGTGATGAACCAATGGAACATCAACCATTTGGAGGAAACGGAAATGATCCAGACATAATTTATGATTAAGAAAGAATAAATTAATTTACTTCTTTTTAGTTGCAACCATCGGAACTTTTATTATTCTTTTAGATTTCGCAGAAGTGTCTTTCTTCAATGCGTCTTCCCATGCACGTTTATTAATACGTTCCATATTACGTTTCAGTATTAAATTGTTCCTCTTGGACGCATTTACACGCTTTTCATATCGACTGAGTTCATCCGACTCAATCATATTATACACTCCTCTTGGAATAGATTCCGTGATATGACCGTTAACATCAATAACTTCCCTCTCATTTTCAGGATTATCATAATATTTTTTCACTCGTTCATTTATTGCTGCTCTCGCTTCTTTATACCACTTTTCATAATCATATTCGTTATATCCCGCACGCATTAAATCATTTGTTTTTTGTCTATAATCAGAAGCAACAGGAGTAACATTATATTTAGGTTCGATTTCATGTCTACCCATTAATTCATATCCATGTTTTACCTCTTTCGCTGTAACCACTCCGTGACCACGATTTTCCAAACCAGAATTTGAATCAGAAGAAATACCATCTCCTGTAATTCTTTTTCTTGGTTGTATTATACTTTCAGAAACATAAGAATTAGTATCACCACGTACAACAAAATTCTGAGCATATTCAACAAATTCATTAAGATTTATACCATTTCGTTCAGCCAATTTAGTTGCAATAATCTTAGCACCAGCCATTCTATTACTATTCCAAGAAGCCCGCAATTTAGTAAAATCACGAGAAGCAACATCCAATTTATAACGAATTTCATCAATATTCGAATTGTCATCTTTAATACCACTCAAAACCAACATCATACTTTCATGAAAATTTTGCATATCATTAACATGAACAACATACTCAGCATTAAAGGATTGAGCAATATTTTCAAATTGGTTCATAATTGTATTAACAGTACTTATCACGTCTTTATATTGTGTACCACGAACTTCATTATTTTTTATATACTTATTAACATCTCTAAATTGAGAAATTAATAACTGACGAGTATTTTCAAAAGCTTTTTTACTCTGTCTCATATCCGGATCATCACTATAAAAACGTTCTTCTCCCGCATTTATTATTTGTCCTCCCTTTTTATATGAATTCATATCATTCTGTATACTATTTACTAAACTTATTACACGAGTAAGTTCTTCCGTTTTACCAGCACCAATTTTCTGTATTGATGATTTAAGAGCTTTCACTTCACTCTCAAGTAATCTCATTCTTCTAGTAAAATTGGCAGGTTCTTGTTCTTCTAATAAATCTTTTAGTAAATCATTTAAAGGTATTTTCATGTGTTCAGGTAATCTGTTAACCACATCAAAAACATTTTTCCATTCTTCTGATTTATTTTCTAATTTATCAAGACGTTCAGTATATAAATTAACCTTGTCCGTAACTGTATCAAGTTGTTTCAATGAAAATCGTTGTTGTTCAACAAGTCTCAAATCAATATCTTTAATAATTCTTTCTTGATTCTTTATATAATTATCAAATTGTTCTAATAAAATATTTACATCGTTTCGTCTATATGTATCAGACCACGTTTGTTCAAACCACTTGGCAGCTTCATTAACATCTAATTTAGTTCTATAAAGTAACTGAATTTCTTTTTGAAGTTGATCTTTATATAATTCTAAATCTGCTCTAACAGCATTTAAATTTTCTGGACTTATTGTATTCAAATATCTAAACCGAGAATTCAAATCATCATATTGTCTAGAAAACGCCGAACCCATATTCTGATAATCATCAGATAACTTTTTTAATTGATTCTCAAAAGCAGGATATTTATCAATCAATCCTTTCAAAATATCAATTCGTTCTTCAATATTTTGTAATCTAGAACCCTGTTTTTCAACTACAGGTTCATAAAAATCTTTGAAAGCATTTAACTCTGCACGAGTAACAAATATCCCATTATTCTTTTCAATATTAGATACACGACGTTTCAATATAGAATTTTGTTCATCAAGATCTTTTATTTGAGTACGAATATTACGAGGAATAAAATCACCAAATTCCATTCTTAATTCATTAATCTTATTAATGTTTTTATTTATCATTTCTCTATTTTCACGAACTAAATCTTCAACTGTAACAAATCGTTCGGCGTTTTGTTTATATTTATTAATTGCTGATTCTAAACGTTCAATATGATGAACATTTTTAAGATTATCTTGCTGAGCACGCAAAATAGCTTTATACAGATTTTTATTATCATCATCAATCCTTTTTTGTTGTTTACCAATATTTTTAAAAAATCCACCGTCATCACCCAATCGTTTATCTAATTCCCTATTAACTATATTTTGAAGAGATTCATCTGGAATTGGTGGATTATAAGGTCTTCCACCAAATTGATAAAACTGCTGTTCATTATCAATGGGTTGTTTATCATATTGTCTAGAAACATACCTACCAGCACTATTATAATATCTTTTATATCGTTTATTATAATTGTATTGTCTTCTTCTTCGTTTAAACATCAAATAACTAATTAAAGTTCAATAATCAATTAAAGATTAACATTATGTTCTGGTAAACCATCATTTGGTAATACTAAACCACCATTGGAATATGCATTATTAGCAGCATCATAAACAGTTTCAGGATTAATTGATGGAGCAGAACTGTTATCAATTGCTCCAACTAAAATGTACGGAGGTTGTGCATTAGGAACATTATTAGGTACAACAAGTCCATTGTTATTACGAGCATAACCAATAAAACCAATATAAGGTTTAAAAGAATTGTCTTCAGAAACAAGTACTTTCCTAAGACCTCTCAATGTAACATCAAATTGCCAATGAATAGTAAGAGTACAAGAATTAACAGCATTAACAGATTGAGGAGTTTTTATAGAAATTAATAATTGAGGATTCCATGCACTATACATATTATCCATACTGAGTACATCTCTAGTATTAGTTGTTGGTAAATACATAGACTTTTCCATCATAGATGCTGCATCTAATTGTCTTACAACTCCCCATCTACTACCATAATATAACGTCTTTTCATTTGCACTAGAATAAGAAGAAACAGAAGAATAAGTAGGTAATTGGAAATATCTCGTATTATTAATAACAGCAGTATTGATTCTAACACCATTACGATCCCATGCTGTACATATAGATGGAAATGTTGCACTATTTAATAATTGATTTCCAATAAATGTCATTTCCATAGATGCTCTAACAGCATTTAACTTAAATTGATCATACATTCCCATATAATTATGAAAATATTGTGTAGAAGTCATCAATGCAGTAACATTCCTTAACATTGTACCTTCATTTGCACCAACTGGAACATTAATAGAAACATCTTCTTGCATACTAATAACAACATTAGTACTATCTCGTTGTTGCATAGCACTGGCAAAATTACCAAATGCTTGTCGTTTCAAAGTTGCACGTTTTTTATATCCTCTTCTTGGATAATTACGTCTACCAGCACGTCGTTGCATCAAATGAATGAAAACAAGATTCAATTAAGAGTTCTAATTAAATAATGATATAGTCTTAGATATTAACGAAGTAGCATTACTAAAAAAATCAACAACTTCATCACCAGCAACTTTCCTCAAACCACCAATTAAAACAGATTCCAATGCATCTCGACCAGCACTCAAATATGTATTATTATCAATAAACTGCATACCCTCAGAAATACCAGTATAAGCATAACCTACCAACACTTTAGCCGTATTATAACCAGGTATAGCATCAGAAAGAGCACTTTCAACTAAAGGACCAATTACACTTTTAACTCCTCTTTTAGCCAAGTTACACACATAAGAAGTAATACCCGTTCCTTCAGCAAGAGAACCAATAGTCATGAAAGTGTCAACAGGCAAATTTTCATAACCATAACGTTTTAGAGCATCACTCCAAGATTCTCCATCACCACGTTCAATAACAAACCCACTAACACCGTCTTGAACAAATTGACCTAATCCATTTAACGAAATTACACTATCATGAGAAACAGTTTGACCCGTCCGAGTATCCTTCCAAGATGATTGGCAACGAACAAAATTATATGCTTCAACAATTTCAAGTGGAGATGAACGTAATTGTTTAAATCTAACAGTAATATAACCCATAATTTTCATAATGTACGAACCATCACTATCAACACTGGTATGATTAGCAAGTTCTTGTTTATATGCAGCTTCAACATCTGCAGCATCTGACCCCTGAAATCCTCCAACTACAATACCACGACCAACACGAACTTTTATTTTCACATTATCACGAATAACATCCTGTAAATCAACATTGGCATTATCCAAAATAATTTCTTCTTCTTCTTGTGGTATTCCCGCATTACCAGTCCAAGAAATACCACCATCATCAATAAAAGAAAGAGCATCAGTAATATCACCAGCACCAGTAGGAAGAGTGGCTTTAGCACCATACATAATAAAAGGATAAAAACGTCCATTTTGATTTTCTGGAATAAATTTATATAACTTTCCTGCCATCATAGTGGGGGTTGTCATCATTTTTTCACTCGAAGATACTCCAGCAACATCAAGTGATAAATGTAAACTAGCACCAGGTAATTTACTTTGATATATAAAAGAAGAATAAGAAGAAAGAACATCAAAACTAGGTTCAACATATAAAACTCCTGTAGGACTTGGAGTAAAAAATCCGGGAGGAACAGTACGACGACTAGCTAGTCCATAAACAGTTGGAAAACTAAGAACTTGTGTGGCAATTATTGGATAACCAACACCATGTTCCGGTTTTCCGATATAAAAATTCCCATTATAATATTCAATAAATTCGCCAGCCTGACCTTCTTCAAAATACACATGATTCGCATCAACTAATAAATCAGCAGCATCAATATCTGTCCAAGTTGAACCATTATCAGTACTCACCTGAAGTGAAATACTCTTTATAAAACACACTCTAAAATTCATTAATGTGGATACTCCTTTACTAACATCGCCACAAATATGAACATCCATAATTTTAAATT